TTGTAAAGTTATTTTTCTTAGGTCAACAGCATTTTTTAAACATTTTACAAATGACATTGAACATATTCAAGTTTGCCTCCCAAACTTTCTCCTACTTTCCACTATCTTTTCTTTTCTGTCCTCAAAGCCCGCCCCTAAAAATAGGAGAAAATTTTAAATTTTAGAACTAGTTTCGCGTTGATAATGCCCACGTTTGAAGTGGGCGAAACACGTGTGCGCTCAATAAAATTGTGTTAGTGGTAATTGAGATGAGTTTCTTGTTTCATTTATTTATTAATTTACCACAGTCTTCCTGTTTCAATCGTATATTACCTATAAGTAACTGTTGAAAAAATAAACCACATCTAACCCCTAATTAATGATTTTTATTTAAGTACTCCAATTATAACAATTTTCTGTATCTTAATTTTAAAAGCAAGAACAAACTGCTGCAATTAAGCTGATATTTTATTATTTTTGCTATTAATAACTTTTTAAGCAAATGATCCTCAAGAAAAAGTAAGAAGAGATGCAATTAACGAATTGATACAAACCGAAAAAGCATACATTAATGATATGGCAACTGTACATGAAGTTTTCGAATTGCCATTGAAACAAAGTAAAATAATTACAAACGAAGAAGTTAATATTATATTTGTAAACTGGCAAGACATTCTCGAATGCAACAGAAACTTTCTGAAAGAATTATTAGAACGATGGGAGTCAGATAGTAATATTATCGGGGATATTATATGTACACATGTAAGTTTTTATTATTACTTTTGATAACAATTGATGATATATTTTTTTTGTAATATATATGTTTTATTGAATATATATATATATATAAACCTTAGGCATGAAGTAAGAAAACGATTGGATGATGATGGAACTTATCAACTAATAAGTAAATAAATAAAAACATTCTTAAATTATTAAAACTTTCTTTAGTGCACTGATTGTGAAACATGATGTAAATGAAATCTAAGGATGTAAATTCACTTAAGGGATAACACAAATTGGATAGGACAGTTTCGCCAATTTATGTACTACTAGAGTAGCACAATAGGTACCCTTTATAATGGTTCTGCCTGGACAATATTGTTGAGCCAGTAAATAAACTATTTATCTATCTTTTTTTAAGTGTTTTAAGAATTTACAACCTTAAATTTCCTTATTGACATCACACTATAATCGTTCCTATGCCGAGAAGATTAAATAAATTAATAATAAATAATATGGAACTTATATGTACCTATGACGTAAGCTACTAAAAATACCCCTGATGTCGTAGCTCCGACTATGGCTCTAGACAATGTAAATGTCCAAAATTCAGGAGCAATACCGCAAATAATTCCAAACAAAAGTTGTACTACCAAAGACATGAAGAATATTATTTTACGACCAAATCTAAAATTTATCACAAAAATTAGAATTTCATCTCAAATGAACTTTTGGTACCAAATATATGATAAAACATGTACGAACTTGTCTGAAAGATATCCAAATATAATAGATCCTAGACCCACGCCCACCATAAAAATGGCATCCCCAATTGCAGAAAATGATGCTTTATCACAAACCAAATTCCACTACAACAAATATAAAGCAAAATTTATTTGGGAAATATAGTTTTATAAGAGANAGCATCATTTAGAGATGTAGTAAAAAGGTGCCAAAGTCATAGATCAACCAAAGGGATGCCTCTTAGTTCATTTTTAATCAAGCCAATGCAGAGGATCACGAGATACCCCTTATTAATTAGTAAAATTATAGAAAATACTCATGAAACTCATCCAGGTATTATTTCATCTTTACATATTTAAAAATGAGTAATTTTTGTTTCTTGTATGTAGATTATAAATATTTAATCGAAGCACAAAGAGTAGCTGACGTGTTTCTGAAAAGACTTAACGAAAATGTAAGACTAAGGGAGAATGAAGAACGATTGGAATGGTTGCAAAATAATGTTCAATTGGGTAACGATTTGAAAATAGTATTTAATAGTATAACAAATAAATTGGGTCCAAGAAAATTAATTCATCATGGAGTATTAACGAAGGTAAAAGCAATTGAAAGTAATACGATAACCTACATTTACATATTTTTAGGTGAAAAGTGGAAAAGAACTGGTGGGAATTTTATTTAATGACTTTTTTATGTTGATTCAACCAAGCAAGGCAATTGGTTCAAGTCAGTTCAATTTTAGCAAAAGTGGGAACATAGTATACAAAATATACAGACAAGTAAGACATTTTACAGTTTTCAAATTAAAATTTTTTTACACATTTCTTTTAGCCAATATTAATACAAGATTTAAAAGTAGTAAAGTGTAACACCGATTCTTTAGAAAACGGTACAGATTCGAATAGAGCTTTAAGAATTCATTATGACAATCAGATCATATCATTACTTGCTACGAGTGTGAACGAATGTAATTTGTGGGTAAAAAAGATCGAAAGTACAAAAGAAGTTTATGACAAAGTGGTGTCATTATCAAGAAGTCGACCTAAATCAAGTAAGTAAAGTACGATTTCGAAATAGACATTAAGCAGATACCATTTCTTAATAGTGCTTTTTTACACATATAATCTATACGTAAATGTGCATTTAATTACATAACAGCCACATTTTTGTTGTCTGCTTTTTGTGTTTTCATTGGTTAAGGTATATTCAATAAAAACAAACTCGACTAATAAATATTCATAATGAAATTTTCTTGTAATCTTATATCATCTCCATTAAATCAATGAAATCTGAGTCACGATTAAGTGTAGTAGTTTAAGGTAGACAGTTACTTCCGATAATGCTTCTTTAAATAAATAAAATAGGAGATTCACCCCATTTACCACTAACACAATTTTACTGAGCGGACGTCAAACGTGGCCATTATCAACGCGAGACTGGTTCTAAAATTTAAATTTTTCTGATATTTATAGGGGGTGGGGGTTGAGGACCGAAAAAAAAAGATAGTGAAAAGTAGAAAAAGGGTTGGGAGGGAAACTTAAATACGTTCAACGCCATTTGTAAAATGTTTAAAACGCTGTTGGCCTAAGAAAAATAACTTTACAAATGCATGTTTCGACAAACAAATAAGGAAATGGATTTAAAGAAAATGTGTTTGTTGAGTATCCGTTAATACATCTAGAAGGCCTTTATGAGCCAATATTATGTAATTAACGCATGCTTTATGATGACATGCTTAATCCGGGGGAAAAATTTCCTTTAAATCCATTTTCTTGTTTGTCGAAGCATACATTTGTAAAGTTATTTTTCTTAGGTCAACAGCATTTTTTAAACATTTTACAAATGACATTGAACATATTCAAGTTTGCCTCCCAAACTTTCTCCTACTTTCCACTATCTTTTCTTTTCTGTCCTCAAATCCCGCCCCTAAAAATAGGAGAAAATTTTAAATTTTAGAACTAGTTTCGCGTTGATAATGCCCACGTTTGAAGTGGGCGAAACACGTGTGCGCTCAATAAAATTGTGTTAGTGGTAATTGAGATGAGTTTCTTGTTTCATTTATTTATTAATTTACCACAGTCTTCCTGTTTTTATGTTGGTGCTTCTTTAAGACTGAAACTGTAAACAAAATTAATTTCATTATAGCAGCAAATGCGCATAGTGTCATCGTTGCTTTTACATTTTGTTTTCTATGTCATTTTTTTTTATAAAATTTTGAATGTAATTTTATTTGTTTTTTTTTTGTGGGGATGTCCTTTTTTCTGATCTTACATTTGCTTGTGTGCAGAGCCCCAAACAGGGGCGACCTGTGGACGTCTACTTGTGCTCGTTCAAAAGGGGACTCGCTTCATTAGTTCGGGTAAGATTTATTTTTGTAGATGAACTGCATGCTAGTTTTAGTTCACAGTTTGGCCCGTGCATGGTTGACCGTTACGATTGTGCAAGGCTCCGAAATACGATCCACCAAAATTGGTAAACTTTTCAAGCGAAAAGGTATTTTATTTTGTCACACATATATTTTTACATTCAAAGTATATTT